GTGTGTGTAGCCAGAGCGGGCTTCACGCCACGGGAGGTCAGCTGACATCTGGCCGAAATACAAAGGTTACTCAAAGATCCGAGACGGCGTGCACACTGGACTTAAAGGGTCAGCCCGCCCAAACCTAACCTAACCAATCACATTCAAGGCCGGTGCACACCCAAGGTCACAGCCCACCGCGCAGCAATCGTGCTCGATTCAGCGCGGTCATGAGTCGCCCGGGTGCGCACCGATCTCGCTGCGGGTGCCATTATTTTCCAATGGCGCCCCAGTTGCGCCAATGCGATTCCGCCCAAGCTTTCCGAACACTAAAACAGCCGCGCGACGCGAAACAAAAAGGTACAAGTGCACAATTGCCGCGCGGTGGGGGGTGTCACCTAGGTGTGCGCCGGCCCTTAGTTGTACGTGGGCCCAGTCAGCCAGACCCGTTACATGTCTTGGATACTCCCAATAGGGAGATCTCCATGTTATAATTCCCGGCGCTGTTCCTGCAAATACCGGGGAGTTTCAGTAGGTGCCGCCCATCCTTGTGTTCCGGCTCCCGCTTTCTCCATATAAAATACATACAATTCCAGCAGGAACTCAGCACAGGGGAGGTGGGGGCCCCTCATAATGGGCACAGCAGGTGTACAGACCTGGGAACTCAGCACAGGGGGGGTGGGAGCCCCTCATAATGGGCACAGCGGGGGTACAGACCCGGGAACTCAGCACAGGGATGGTGGGGGCTCCTCATAATGGGCACAGCGGGTGTACAGACCCGGGAACTCAGCACAGGGATGGTGGGGGCTCCTCATAATGGGCACAGCGGGTGTACAGACCCGGGAACTCAGCACAGGGATGGTGGGGGCTCCTCATAATGGGCACAGCGGGTGTACAGACCCGGGAACTCAGCACAGGGATGGTGGGGGCTCCTCATAATGGGCACAGCGGGTGTACAGACCCGGGAACTCAGCACAGGGATGGTGGGGGCTCCTCATAATGGGCACAGCGGGTGTACAGACCCGGGAACTCAGCACAGGGATGGTGGGGGCTCCTCATAATGGGCACAGCGGGTGTACAGACCCGGGAACTCAGCACAGGGATGGTGGGGGCTCCTCATAATGGGCACAGCGGGTGTACAGACCCGGGAACTCAGCACAGGGATGGTGGGGGCTCCTCATAATGGGCACAGCGGGTGTACAGACCCGGGAACTCAGCACAGGGATGGTGGGGGCTCCTCATAATGGGCACAGCGGGTGTACAGACCCGGGAACTCAGCACAGGGATGGTGGGGGCTCCTCATAATGGGCACAGCGGGTGTACAGACCCGGGAACTCAGCACAGGGATGGTGGGGGCTCCTCATAATGGGCACAGCGGGTGTACAGACCCGGGAACTCAGCACAGGGATGGTGGGGGCTCCTCATAATGGGCACAGCGGGTGTACAGACCCGGGAACTCAGCACAGGGATGGTGGGGGCTCCTCATAATGGGCACAGCGGGTGTACAGACCCGGGAACTCAGCACAGGGATGGTGGGGGCTCCTCATAATGGGCACAGCGGGTGTACAGACCCGGGAACTCAGCACAGGGATGGTGGGGGCTCCTCATAATGGGCACAGCGGGTGTACAGACCCGGGAACTCAGCACAGGGATGGTGGGGGCTCCTCATAATGGGCACAGCGGGTGTACAGACCCGGGAACTCAGCACAGGGATGGTGGGGGCTCCTCATAATGGGCACAGCGGGTGTACAGACCCGGGAACTCAGCACAGGGATGGTGGGGGCTCCTCATAATGGGCACAGCGGGTGTACAGACCCGGGAACTCAGCACAGGGATGGTGGGGGCTCCTCATAATGGGCACAGCGGGTGTACAGACCCGGGAACTCAGCACAGGGATGGTGGGGGCTCCTCATAATGGGCACAGCGGGTGTACAGACCCGGGAACTCAGCACAGGGATGGTGGGGGCTCCTCATAATGGGCACAGCGGGTGTACAGACCCGGGAACTCAGCACAGGGATGGTGGGGGCTCCTCATAATGGGCACAGCGGGTGTACAGACCCGGGAACTCAGCACAGGGATGGTGGGGGCTCCTCATAATGGGCACAGCGGGTGTACAGACCCGGGAACTCAGCACAGGGATGGTGGGGGCTCCTCATAATGGGCACAGCGGGTGTACAGACCCGGGAACTCAGCACAGGGATGGTGGGGGCTCCTCATAATGGGCACAGCGGGTGTACAGACCCGGGAACTCAGCACAGGGATGGTGGGGGCTCCTCATAATGGGCACAGCGGGTGTACAGACCCGGGAACTCAGCACAGGGATGGTGGGGGCTCCTCATAATGGGCACAGCGGGTGTACAGACCCGGGAACTCAGCACAGGGATGGTGGGGGCTCCTCATAATGGGCACAGCGGGTGTACAGACCCGGGAACTCAGCACAGGGATGGTGGGGGCTCCTCATAATGGGCACAGCGGGTGTACAGACCCGGGAACTCAGCACAGGGATGGTGGGGGCTCCTCATAATGGGCACAGCGGGTGTACAGACCCGGGAACTCAGCACAGGGATGGTGGGGGCTCCTCATAATGGGCACAGCGGGTGTACAGACCCGGGAACTCAGCACAGGGATGGTGGGGGCTCCTCATAATGGGCACAGCGGGTGTACAGACCCGGGAACTCAGCACAGGGATGGTGGGGGCTCCTCATAATGGGCACAGCGGGTGTACAGACCCGGGAACTCAGCACAGGGATGGTGGGAGCCTCTCATAACGGGCACATTCTAACAGAGAAAACAAAGCATAAGACTTTGCAGTGTTGTTTTGCTGCCCCCGGAACGATGAGTTGGGTTTTCAGATATCAGATGTAGAAGTAAAAATGACTTTTAGATTACAGTACAGTTTCCCTCGACATGGAGGAACCAATCACTACGCTGTATGGATTTGTAGAACTCCCGGCCATTGTGTAACATCCTGCGTGGTGTTGGCACCATATTTGGCATCATTCGGAGTCGCTGATCCGTCTTCCTGGGGGAGGGCAGAGTGACCCTACCTGAGTGACAGGGCGAGCTCCTACCCGGCGGGTGTCATGGTCCTTTTATAGGCATTGTTGTGTCATCGCTGCTCCTGTGTTATGTCCGCTGCCGGGACTTCTTTTGTACAATACCCACAGCACACAGCTCTCCCGGTGCGCACAGCTCTCCCGGTTCGCACAGAGCCCAACCTACAAACAGATCTCACCCATCAGCAGATTACAGAAGTCAGTACAATAAAAGGTGGCCGCCGAATGTTTGGCTGGAGCCACTGCTGGCTCACCTACTCAATGGATGAAAGTCCCAGATTAGGCACCAATAACTTAGGGGGGTCCATGACCAGGGAAGCACCAACGACTCCCCCAGTCTGAGCTCTGCTGTACAGGGACCGCAAGAGGCCCAAACCAGGACAGATTATAGTGATGAAGGATTCCCATGAATGGAGGAATGTTACGCAGCAAGTGTAGTCAACCTCAGCACTCCAGCTGCAATTAAACTACAAATCCATCATGCTTCTGCCTCTGGGAGTCATGCCTGTGGTTGTCAGGAGTCTTGCAATGCCTCATGGGACTTGTAGTTCTACAACAGCTGGAGTGTCAAGGTTGCTTAATCCTGGTATATGGTGATACACAGTCACTTACACAACCATGCTCGAGGTGGGCAATGAGTACAGCCCCACAGGGTGCCAGCGACCAGGGCCCCCGCAGCCAGAGTCCCCACACCTACAGCCCGGCAGGGTGCCAGCGGCCAGAACCCCCGCAGGGTGCCCACACCTACAGCCCCGCAGGGTGCCAGCGACCAGGGCCCCCGCAGGGTGCCAGCAGCCAGAGTCCCCACACCTACAGCCCCGCAGGGTGCCAGCGAGCAGAGCCCCCACAGGGTGCCCACGCCTACAGCCCCGCAGGGTGCCAGCGAGCAGAGCCCCCACAGGGTGCCCACGCCTACAGCCCC